TGATCAGGATTTTGGCATTCGGCAAGCCACACATTTCTGTCTTGGGCTTTGCTTTGTTTGATATATTAACAAAAGGGTTTCTTGTATATGTATTGGGGTTGCATTCTTTGGACGACATGTAAGAAAACAAAACAAAGTAGTAGTAGTAGTAGAAGATTTTCCGGGCTAGCCTTGTCTTTCTCTGATTTTGAGTTGTTTTACTTTTTGTAGTTGCATTTTTTTACTATCTGTTCATCTGCACTTGTTCTTCTGGACTAGCTTAGATAGGGTATGAGAAAGCTTCGAATCTTTGTCCAAGAAAGATAGCCTCCGCAGGCGATGGGTGTGAGTTAGGTTCCTTTTCGGTTGGGTCTGGTGTGATGATGGTAGCTAGTAGTAGTATTAGATGTTCATTAATTCAATCAGGTGCATCCTCCTTGTCTTTCACTGGTGAGCATTTTGAAACTGAAATCATGTATGTACTACTTGTCATTTGGTTGAATGGAACGAGGAGGGAATAGGTAAAGGCTTGCCATCTGCTGCCATACACTATTAATGACTGTCTACTACGACTGAACTCGATAATGAAAAAGGCTGATAGGTTAGCAGCAATGTGGAATAGTGAGCCTAGTATTGTCCGGGTGACTATACATATATACATGGCTGAATTGGTTCCGAAGCCTGAAAACCTCGGGGGATAAAAAGAGAGTCTGTGAGTTAAATGGAGAAGTCGAGGTTGATATAGTGTTGTGTTTACGTGTTTTCTTCCTCTTCCATTAAGTGAAAGGGATCACGGACGACAGACCACCGACCTTCGGGCCCATTTTGGTGGAACATGGGAAAGGAGTGTTTTAATAGTCTATGGTTTCTGATACGATGATTCTGCAAGTTTGTCCGTTTCGGACTTTCCATTTTATTCTCTGCTCTGTACCTGGACCGAAACTCCCCAACAAAACCAAGCGAAGGGGCTTCCAACTGACTCGTTAGTTCGGAGCCTTGAGAGAGGCAATGCATTGTACTAGCATGCAAGTATACAGCGGCATCGCTTTACCCCACCGTAGCAGCGGTGATTAGTACGGTAGTCGACCGCTCATCCTGTTTGGATTGCAATTTTTTTTGGATATTTTTTTTTAAAAAAATTATTATAATAATTTGATATATTTGAGATAAAATGATGATTGAAAAATGTAGATTTCTTGTTGTTCATTTTTAATATGGATCTTAATTTGTATGCTTGGTTAGCCAGTCTCGGAAATTTGGATCTTGAAGAGCCTCTTGTGAGTTCAACTTTCGACCGTCATCAAGTGATTTTTTTTTTTTTTTTTTTGTGGGTGTTCGGATCAATTCTTACGGGTCCGACTAATTCCCTGCGGCCCGGACCGGGGTCATCAAGTGATTTAGTACCAAGTCGTTGGACAGGTAGCTTATTTTCCTATTGCAAATATTTTGGACCGTCATCAAGTGATTTGGTACCGTCATCGAGGTGATTCATACCACCAATGTATTGTTCAGCCAACATAATTATTTTGTGGACGAAAATGGACTTCAAATATGTTAAATTTGGGTGGGGCAAAAGGAAAGGAAAATTCTAAAAATTTGGTACTTGAATATTCTTTTTTTTTTTTTTGAACGTAATAAATGCAAAGGATCAGAAAAACCAAAAACTGTTTCATCCACCAACATTTGCTCGCTGCAACAAGAATTCCGTTGCGGCCTAGCCGACAGCCACACTCAGACTACAACCCTCAAAACATCAATTAATCTTCCTGATTTTGGACTCCTTTCATTCAAACTATAGATCCCAAATTTCAACCTAGATTAATAAATTCTCCACCCACCATTCCATGATAAATTGGCATCCAAGAAATCTCATGTCAATCATTTCACTTTAGCAGTAGTGAGTTTAAAAATAAACAACAGATGGATTTTCAAGTGCGCTCTGAAGGCGGATCACAAATAGGAATGAAGCCAAACTTCTGTGAATGGTTTGCCTTTTTTGCCCCTTGAATTACCTAAGTTGTTTTCTTGATTTGTTTATTTATTTATGTGTCAATTTTTTTTAAGGGTGTTCAATAAATTTCAGAAGTTCTGAAAAAGAACATTGATAGGAAAAAATGAAATATTTACGAGACGATTCCCCGGTTTCCTAGTTAAAAACTAAACTAGTGGTGATTATTTGTTCGTAACACTGCTATGGCAAGTACGGACTGTCACGCCTAGGCTTGGTGGTGCGAGAAATCAAGGGTTCGAACCTTGCCTCCCACAAAAATTGTCACAATATGTGACGGTCTTCATTGACCAGTTTCGATGGAGTTTCTACTCACATCGAGTCCCTTTCCCCTCCCCCTATAATAGGTTAGCTTAGTTATAGAAATTCTATCGTATCGACAAAAAAAAAAAAAAAAAAAAGTACGGACTGTCACCATCATATTTTCTTAATAAAGTAGCAAAAGTTGAGGTTTTGAGAATTAAAGACCTTGAATGAAATCACCTTTCCCCGTCTCTTGCTATCCCACCCTTTTTATACTAAAAATAAATAAATAAACCATTGATAATGTTGTAATATAAATCAATCTTTTAGTCTAATACTAGCATTATCCTAACGTTTAAATATATCTACCTTTGAAGAATGTATATTCTCTCCATTTTTTTTTTAAAAATATCAGACATTTACATTGTGGCTATGAAATCACAACTTCTGTCATGCAACTATTGTACAAAGAGAAGAGGGAAAAAATTTAGTGTGAAAATAACTAACAAGATCAATTACAATTTGTTTCTAAGTACAGTTTCTGTGGTTCATTTGACAACTTTTCCATGGAAGCCAGCTTATAAGGGAAATTCATTCTCAATTCAATAGAAAGTTGGCGTTAGATGAAGTTTAGTTTTGTTTGTTACTGTTTTTTCACTTAATTGTGTACGATTTACTACTATAAATTCTTGTAAATTTTTTTTAAAAAAACACTAATATAGCATGGTCCGAGCTTAGTGTGAGTTAAGCTCGAGAGAGTTGACATTAAAGCCTTAGGCTTAGGCTCAGAGGTTTAGCCCAACTGGAAGTCCAACTTATAAGATTACTCTGTTCTTAAGTTGTTGGTGTGCCCGGATCAATACCGATCGGGTATATATATATATATATTGCGTTATGTGGCATGATTTTAAGATGCTTATATTCAATTCTACAGAATCTCTTTTCTTTGCTGGGAATATGTTTTGGGGAGTTTATTGCCAAAATAACTCTTCTTCCAAAATATATACCCAAAGTAACCTATTTTTATAATTTATTACCTTTATAATCCTTTTTTTGCCACTTAGGCAGCATATGTGTCAGGATGGAGATAAAAACACATTCCATTTCTCTTTTCAATCTAATATCTTCCCCAATTTTCTTTCTAAATATTCCCGCATTTTTTTGTTTAATTATCTTTCCCTTGTCAAACATATATTTGAGATATTTTTACTGTAGCACTTTTTTTGATATGATGTATGTGAGATAAAAAAGTGATTGAAAAATGTGTTGATGATACAAACAAGTCAGTGTGTGTAAATAAGGTGTAAATAAAGTGAAATAATCTTCAATCCAAACACACTCGTAATTCTAAGAAATCAATATTTATATTAACAGCATCTAAAAAATATGCTTCTCGAGTTGATAATCTCAAGGCAAATGAAAATTATTCTCGTGTCTTTTTAAGGAGTAGAAATGATAACATAAATAAATATGATAGTCTTGAAGTTTTTTAATTGCTTACAATTTTTGTTGAAATTTTTGTTGCAACTTTTGTATTTTTAAAATTTATTTTTTGAAAAATATATATGCAATAGGTTTGATACATTTTAAAAAAATTAGAGCCCAATAATAGCAAGGTCAATAATGGTAGAATTTATTTTAAATAATTATAAAGAAATTATAAAAGTTATGCAATCTTCTTGTGCCTCTGTAATAAAAAAAATTTAAATTTTTAGTTCATGTTGGATACTTTAAATTAGATTTGAATTTTCTTTTTTTGTTATCGTGCATGGTAATCAAGATAACTAGATGGCAACAATAACATCATTATGGGAATAAATTTTGAAAGTAAATCACATTGGGAATATTTTTTAACAAGAGTGTTATTTTGGCAATAAACTCATGCTTTGGGATCATGACAAAAAAAAAATCTTTTTATTTTCTAGATCTTCATCTCTTGTTTGGTAGACAAGTTTTTTGTTAAGTTTGTCTGCTACAAGTTTTTTAAAAATTTTAGCTACAATAACCTCAAAAAATTTCTCATAAGTTTTTAAACTATACACTTCAAAATATTTTTTTTTTAAAAAAACACACTTCAAAAAACTTCTACAGTAAGTTATACTCCCTCCGTCCCACTTTGATAGTTCTGGTTCTTTTTTCACACAGTTTAATAAAAAATAGTTAACTTTGTTGGAACAATCAATTTAGGTAGCTATTTTCCTAAAATACCCTCACATTAATTAGAGTACAACTTTATGGGAACTTGAATTGATGGTAAAAAAAGAATCAACTCTCATTAAATGAGGTAGGTTTATAGTAACAACAACTTATATTGAATAAGGGTATTTTAGGAAAATTAAAATATAACTACATTCTTCAATTGGAAAGTGGACTATAATTTGGGACAGACAAAAAAGAAAAACAGGACTATCAAAGTGGGACGGAGGGAGTAGTAAAGTTGTGACGTCCAATGGATCAATTCCTTTGGAATTTGAATCGGTGGCACCGAGAGTGGGAAATAATCATGATGCAAGCCTAGCGTTTGTGTTTGTGTTGGTGTTGGTGGTCACAATTTTGGATTTCCCACCAACTTGAACGAAACTTCATTCAACGGGCGGTGTGCGGCCAGAGATGCAGACAAGATGGGAAGGATTGCTTTGGCATCTGCTCCCTTGAAAATCTTACCAATGATAGCCATCCCCTTGAATGTGCTCTAGCTTTAGTGCTTCAAAACAACCAAGCATGAAACGCTACTCCCAAGAGGAACCAACTTTGCCTAACAAAGACACGCTCAACATCAAGTGGTAAAAAGATTTATACGACTTTTTTGGTTTTGCCACTTTGCCTATTACAACACATAATTAGATAAGACAGACCATAATCGGATAACGATCTGATTTCCATGTGGAGGAACATAAAGGGCCAAAAAAAAAGAAGGGAAAAATGACTTCGACGCAGGCACACTTGCTTTGTCTACATACATATACTAACTAGTTGGGCTTAAAGAATTTCAGCTTAAGGCCACTGTTGACAATACTCCAAATGCCTCCAATAGAGAAGGCGAGGCTGAATGCAACGCCCAACCAACCGAGAGTCCAGTGAAAGTACCAATTGAAGCTGTATTTTGTTGGCTTTTTTATGAGAACCCACATGAAGCAAGGGTAAGCAAATGTGACTGGTAGAGTGAGCCCTCCGAGCAAACCAGCAAGGCTGGACAGGAAAGGCAGTGCCACCCCTATAAAGAAGGAGACAAATCCGAAGAAGACTCGGAAACCTGAGCGAACCCAAATCGAGCATGGACGGTTTGTACGACTCGTGTAGCCTGCTTCAAAACTGTCAAAAGCGGGCATTGAGTATATCTGGAAACTGCTCAGGCAGTTGAACACGACAAGAAGAAATGTCATTGCCAGGAGTCCCCTGGGAATGTCATGACTGTGAAATGCATACAATGCGTTGAGAATTCCTCCTGAGGGCATCTGAAAAGCATAGAACTCCAAAATTTTAAGTGAAAAAGCATACAATGTTGTACAGGATGTGAAAAAATATCTCACTTTCCTGAAGAAAGCCTGTGAATATTGAATGGTGGAAAACAGAAGATTGAGAAGCAGTATGCTTACCAGGTTTCCATATGCCCAGAAACCTCCAATAGCGACGGGGAACAGGCACATGGCAATGAAGCAATAGGCAAACTTGGCTCCCTTCCACATCGGCACATGAGCTGGGTGCTTGAAGGTTGATGGCATTGTTGCCTACAAAACACCGTTGACGTTTATAACAGCAGATAATTGCAGTGACTTAAGAATGTACATCGCGATGGTCTTTAACAGCACTAAACATGATATACATTTCAACCAACTCCGAGCATACCTGAATTTCTAGGACCAAATTGTGGCCTCTAAATGCAAATGCAATGATACCAAGTGCATTTAGGAAAGAAGAGAGTGTAGCGGAAGGTGAAGGCAATGAGATGGGCTGGTAAGAGATCAAGGGTGGTCTCTGTTGGCTTACAGAGAGTATCCAAGCCATGGTGGAGTAGATTATGGCAGTAACTGCTCCTACCAATGAGAGTCCAGCAATTGAGTTAAGGTTTGGGAGCTGGGATAACACAATGCACAAGGATGTGAACACCAGATACCACTCAACAGTTGTCAGAGGATTTGAAGAACACAGGGGGCCGCATACAATTTGAAAGAACAGTTTCATGGTCTCCCCTCCAATGAGAATCAAAGCTGTCGCTGTTCCTGCTGACAGATACACCGTAGGGAAAAGCGCGAGCCATACACCTAATCTATCCCCTGAAAATTCAAGTAGTAAACGCAAAATCAGTTTCATGCAAAGGTGCAAAGGAAATGATAATGCAAGAATCTCTCGTTACCAGTAGGACCACTGTGTTTAACTGTAAGATTTTCTATTAATTTATCTCCCCGTGTAGGAATCTGTGACAAAATTCTATATTGTGAGACGGTTTAGTGAATCAGGACTTGCAGCTGTCCCTGTATCTTCGAATGTGCAAGAGGTAATAAGAACTAGCATTTCTTGAGGACAATTGCATTATTAATAATCTGCTACTGTCTATAGGAGAAAGAAATAAATGAATTGTTTGCTACTATCCTTTTAAATTATGTTTCAGAAGCTATCTCACCAAATGCTGCTTGTGCAAGTTCTACATATCTGTTGTATCTCTTCCCAGGAACTGCTTCATGTAACTGAACGAGAATCCACAAAGTGTAAAGTTGCCAGAAGTAAGCTATCGTCAAGGAAATTATGCCCCAACTCCTGCATATTGTTGCAAGAACTATGAACTAGATAACTAACTAAAAAAGCTTACAGAATTGGCCTGACATAATTTTGGAATTTATGCGATGACTTTCTTCAATTAGAGAAAAAATCTTCAAGATAATCAGCACATGGATCACTAAATTCCAAAGATAAAAGTCTAAGGCAGATATCCAGATTAGTGAAAGCTTAACTGCTGATTAATTGGAATTAGTATAAAAGTATTGACGCTGTAGTGCTGGGGAGGGAAAAAAAACCATTCTGGGGTAGAGAACATCACGTAATAATTTAGCATCAAAAGGGATTGAATTGCAAGATAAAGCACTGCCATGCCAATTACACCAATCAAGCATAAAGCAGAGCCAACTGTCTTCATCCTCAAAAGGCAAAATACAGAATCATGAAAGGACCCATTCTATGCAGCGTTCTATGAAAAAGTAAAAGGCTGAAAAAAGAAAAGAAGGATATGACTTGCCTCGAGGATCTTTCTTACTTCTATTCAAATCAAATGAAAATGATGAACCTTGGAAAAAGCAACAAAAGAAATCGAAAGATAAAGAAGATACGATCACCTGGTAGACCCACAAGTCCATCACATACTCAGATTCAATCAACTTCAAAGAAAAACTACTTAATAAGTATCAGTCCAGAGAGAGGAAAAAATGAGTTATGAGCTATAAAAGGAAAAAGAAATCTGTCGAAGAAGTTAACAATAGGGAAAAAAGGGAATTACTGCACTATTTAAATTTCAAAGTGACAAAACACGAAGCCAAGAATAATTTGAATACAGAAAGACAGAGTACCTAGCTTATTTCTACCCTTCAAACATCAAAGCTAGAATTTTTATGCCATTAATTCTTCCAAAAATTGAAGCTTCATGCACATGCCAAATTTTCATTATAATTTCAGGATGGAAAAAGCACACTACAAGGACCACTACTCCACACTAGCATACTAGTAGTTGAAAAATGGATAAAAGGAAGCCAGCTTTAAACACAGAGTGTAGATCTTTTACCCTCGTTAACCTAATGCACTGCATATATGCTTCCAAAAGCAGTTAAAACCTCCTATCATTGACAAAAGGACCACAAGTTAAGCACAATCCCTCGACGTAACATTCAAGAACTACAAAGCACAAAGGACACAGTCAAAACCAAAGCTAACTGAGGATTGAATCTAGCCAATAGTCTTTGCTGATTTGTACATAGTAAACCAATTAGTTAAGCTTAAGCAACTATGCAAGCATCAAAGTTGATAGGACTACACACCAGCCAAGAAAAGAGAATGCAACAGGCAAGACCAGAGCTTGGAACCCAAAACCAGCATTGAGGTTATGAAAAGCAGCATAATGAGCATTCCCATTGCGAGACTCGGTAATGGGAAGCCAAGCATCTTGCGGGTTCAGCTTTGTCAAGTGTCCCACCTCCTCTAAATATCCCTTCATGTTAACCAACACCCTCTTCATAGGCGTCCCAATGGGGCTCAAGAACCTCGGAGATATAAACGAAGTCGGGGTCCATGACTTAGCCTCTTTTGATGCTGGCCCAGTTGAGGCCAACCCCCTGGGAGACCTCTGGCCGGACGGCGTGAGTATTTCCGGCGTCGACGCACGTGGGGTTGCCGGAATCGAAATTAGCTCTGTCTCTGGCCTCTCCTCCATTGATGATTAGCAGTTTGTTAGTGCTCTGCGTTTTTCTGGGTTCTGCTGCTCTGTTTCTTCTGTTGCTGAAAGTGAGAAATGGAGAAGAATATATATAAGACTGGTGAGTGAGAGTCGGGGAGACTGAGCATGCAGGGGGACAGGGGCTGGGAGTACAGTGGGAACGGATGCTGATAGTAAAGGATGTGAGGGGTGTGAGAGTTTGTAAAGGTTTGATCTTGGCCGTTGGTGTGGTGTTGATTGCACGAACCTCGATAGTTTTGATTCTCACCGATGAAAGCGTAAAGTCTGGAAGTGAAATGTATGAAATGAGAACCTTGGAGCTTTCAAAAAAAAAAAAAAAAGGGAACCTTGGAGCTTTAATTTCAGGTTGATTGATGGTGGGGGAGTGGATCGTATATGACAAGGGGTACAGTAGCTTTATGGCGCAGGTCCGGACCTGTTGTAGGCATATGTTAGGGATTGGCCTATAATTTATACTAGCTCGGCCGGTCTAGACTTTTACAATAACGGATGTGCAAAATGAGACATCCACCACAAATAGAGAGACTATTGTAAGTTCTAGTTGTTTGCAGGTTGGTGGTATATGTGTTCAAAGGATTTGATATTACAAATTCTATTTTGGGGTAAACTGCAATTTTGACTCCAAGTTTAGTAATTTTTCATTTAACCTTTTTATATAGTTTAAATTGTCAAGGCGATTAAAACTTGTCCCCTGTCATAGGGCCAACTTAAATGTCAAAGAGCATTCCAAGATCAAGATGTAAATTGAATTACTCCATTTATTAACCATAAGTGATTATGCATAGATTTTGAAAAACTTCAAGTTAATTATGTTGAAAATTTTTAAATTAGGGACGAATGAGTAATCAGTTCTAGATTTATATATCTTGAAGTAATATTTGGAATAATTTTGCAATCCAAACACACTTCAAGATATATAAATTTTGTTTATATCACAAATACAATTTTTAATCAATTTTTTTTATCTTTCTAATCACTTTTTTTTTATCTTATATGCATCATATCATAAAAACTATTACAGTGATTATTCCAAACGAAAGTGATCTTAACAATTTTGTTGGTTCCATTACAAAGGATGGTTTCGGTCGTTTTGATACTATAGTATAAATTATGAGGGATCACGTATAACTTTTAAAATCACAATCTTATTATGTGCAAAAGTATTTAATCGTCAAGGGTGAGCTGTTCATTTTATCATTGATACTCTTTTTTTGAACTTAAAATCATGTAATAAATAAATAAAAATTATAAGCAAATGTTTTTTTTTTTTGTTGTAGATTAAGCAAAGAATTTTATATGTACATGCATGCAATGTACTAAGATTATTTTGTCTCTGTCATCAAATTAGTGTACACTATGCACCAAAAAAAAAAGGTACCATTTGGTTTTCTGATACTCTAATAATTGCAATTACTACAGACAGGTTACCTGAATGCACTGAAAATGCAGTGGCAAATACATCAACAGGGGCTCTGCAAAGAGTAAAGAGGGGGGGGGGGGGGGGGGGGGGTGTGTGGGGTTAACTTTTAAGAGCTTCCCGGTGGGTTTTGGCTTTTCGGAATGTACTGTATCTCTCTCACTATCTCAGTAGAGAGGCAGGAGTGTCAAGTGTGGGTCCGTTTAAAATCCTATTGAGTGTCATTTATAGTCAAAGATCTTTAGTGAAAGCACACAAGCGAAGTGGCGAACTAGATTGAATTGTTGTGGACCTGATGTTTACGAACAAGGGACCTGAGGGGTAAATGGGCCAAGTTAAATCGACTAGCTGGGGAGGTTTTTATTTTTAATTTTTTTTATCAAAATTTGAGTTCGATAGGATAAATGCATATATATATATATTAAAATTATTATTATAAAATATCTATTTTATCTCTTGTTTAAAATTGTATAAATGCAATTTTATATTATTTAAACTTTGATTGGGTTTGATCAAGCTTGATGATTGAAATCAATTGGGCTTGATTTGAGTCAAGCTCGAATCAAATAAATTAAAATCGAACTCGAATTTAAACTCAATTTTCTAAAGTTTGATAAACTAAAACTCAAGTTTTTTAACTCTAGTTGAGTTCTAATAGTATACTGTTGAAATGCGACTCAACTCAATTTAGTCACGCGTTTAGGTACTACAGTTTCAACGAGAAAATTAATAATAAGCTATCATGATAAATTAGAGTCCGTATTTCATCTTTAACTGGGATCTTTCTTCTGTGTCATCATGGTTAAGAAAAGCAGAAAACTCTCCACTTGTAGGTCTAGGTTGCAAATGAATCGAATTTGATCCAAAATTCAATCTGTCAGACTAGATTGATTTATAATTTGAAGTTTGCAGAGGCCCCGTCCTGGGCCTGTACACGTGGCAGCCCAGGGAGCTCCGAGTTGGGCTTAGACCCCGAGCCCATGAGAACTGTCCCGCGGCCCTCCGCCGCTAGGGCTCCGAGGGGCTCCAGAGAGCAATCCCGCATAGGTCGGGATTGCTCTCCCTCAGTGCGGGATTATGAGCTATTCTGGGCAAATCCCGAAACGTACGGAGGTCGGACTCCTAAGCAGGTATAAATGATAACGCCCATTGACTGCGCAAGGTATACACACTATTGGACAATTACTCCCGACCGTCCTACTTCCCGTGAACCTCACTCACCGGAAAACTAACTTGACCGTCGGAATGCCCTCGGGGACGACCTCGGGGCCCCTGTTAGTTCACTCTCTTGTTTGTCTTTCAGGCTTAGGACGCGCTCTCTCCATCAGCAAGCCGAGCTCGTCAGCTCAGCTCTGTCCGGGGAAGTTCCGTGCTTCTTCAAAGTTCAAATTCAAGCTCGACGTTATAAGAAACTAAAATTTAAACTGGAGTTTGATTTGATTTAGCATTTTGATAGATTCTAATTCGACTCAAAAGCTCGAAATATTATTTAATTTTTTATATCTTGGAGCCTTATCAAATTTATTTTTCTTTTTGATGAAACATCATACTTTCATTTCATCTTCACTAATGATAAAAATTACGTTGAGCGTACATAGATGTAACATATTTGAAAAACGCACAATACCATGCTATAATCAATAAAAACTACACCATAAAATTCTAACAGCATTAAAAAATTATTTTTTTCTAATAAGTTTTAATATGTAAAGGTTTGAATTCGATTCAATACTTTAATTCAAACTTCAATTATTTTAAAATCAAACTCGAATAATCAAGGCTTTAGCGAATCGAGATCCAACCAACGATTGGCTGTGGGGGTGATTTGTTTTTAGCCTATGTGCTGCGACCCCGTCGAAATGGCGGGTGCGCGTGGAGTGATTGGGATGAAGGTCAAGAGTGTGTCTGCAAAATAGAATGGTCCCATCATGATTCCACGGGGTTGCAGCAAACAAAGCAAAAATGACTGTTGAATTTGACCAAGAAATGGCCCGACAGAAGCCCCATGTGGAATAGCAGCGCATAATCGGAAAATCTCAGGCGTGGCCATTTTAATCAAAACAGTCCCGCCAATGCGATTATTACTTCATTACACGCCAAGCTCTGCCTCTCTTCATTCATGTCGCCATGCGGCCATGGATCATTTGCTGTATCTTCTCTTCTAAACAACAACAGCTAAAATACAATTGATGATGCTTCTCTTCACGCTGTTGAAGGTGGGGGCACCTTCACCTTCACCTTCACCAACAAGCGTGAAGAAGATCCTTAGGTAATCAATCCCATCACACAAAATTAGAGAGCAGCTGCTCCAGGATTTCCATGATAAAAGTATTCACATTAATGTATTTTTTGAGAACTGCAATTTATGACTTCAATTTTCACCCTACCGTTCCTCATAAGTTAGCATTATTCACATGAACGATCTTGGTTTAAATAGTAGATATTCTTCAATAGGTAAGGTGCCCACTAAACATTTACTTCATATCAACTTATTATTTGAATGTATACGCTCAAATCTGTTGCACATTTGTGTTTTTGACATTTTTTCCAAATCAACTTCATTCTTTTTACACTTGTTTTTTTTTTTTTAAAAATCGATGCCTTAAATCGAATCGGCGCACGTGTGTGTATATATAAATACATATACGTATTTATGTATGTACATGCGCACGCACGCGCTGACCACATAAATGTAGTAAGAGTAAATCTTTGGTTACTTTTTTTGCTGCCCGAATTTGAGCAGCCACAATTTCTTTTGTGTTTAGTTCACGCCTAAAAAGGGCAAAAAGAAAAAAAATGGCCTTTTCTAACTAGTTTGAAAAGAGTAGCTGACAAAGAATATGGCACGACAAAGGAGTTTAGATTTAGTTAATGGATTAAGAAGACTCTTTAGTGTGAGGCGAGGGTGTGCTGCTTAGCAAAATGAGAAATGCTGGGCTGGGGTCCCGAATAAGTGCGGCTTCCTATGTAAAGTCTACCCAAGACCCATCCATATTTTGATTTGGCCCGTGCATTTTTGAATGAGCATCCTTAAGATGATTTCTCCATCCAAGAGAGTTTTCAGAATCCAGTTTGCTTTCTTCTTGTCGGAACCTGGACAACGAAACACCTATTTGAGATCCTATTTTCATTTCATTTCTCAATTCATGATTCAAAGTGGGCTTATATACTTGGATGGCCCTTGGGCTACTAGGCCTAGATTCATTTAGCTTGGGCCAGTCCAGCGCCACTGATGAAAAATCACTGTTGTCGATGGACAATCCCTTCAACAATTCTCACAACTTTTCCATGCTGTTAAGAGATGATCGGCTTTGTTTGGCAGATAAGTTTTTTGTCAAGTTTATCTGCTACAAGTTTTTAAAAACTTTAACTACAGTAACCTCAAAAAACTTCTCAAAGTTTTTAAACTGTACACCTTAAAATATTAAAAAAAAAACACACTTCAAAATTTTTTTTAAAAAAACTTCTACAGTACGCTACAGTAAAATTTTAGATAAACACCAAAAAAACTCACTTGCCAAACAGGGTCGACATTTGGGCTGAGACGTCCCTTTTAGGTAGCACACAGTTGAGTTAATTTCAAAGTTAGAGGATGAGACGATTAGTTTCGGTCTTGAGATGGCAACATTTTCAAAAATTTGAAATATAAACAACTATATCATCGTCCACAATATAATTGAGGGAACGCCTCCCAAAAGGAACTGTAGAATTTCCTAAAGTAATATCTAAAATTACTTCTACAACTTGTCACACATTCTTGAGCTAAAGATGAATCTTTCTCCCGATCTCACCAAGTATGGTTAAATCGTTGTTAATTGAATATTTAATGAGGATAACCATCTCTATGTAAACTTGGTTAAGGCCTCCCACTGGCCTTCCCCCCCCCCCCCCCAACCCACCAAAAATACCGGGCAGAAAGAAAAAATAAAATAGAAAAGTTAAGATTAATGTAAA